CGAGTCGCCGTTGCTGCTAGACAGCCCTACGTCGCGCACACCGCCGCCGCCCTCCTGCTCCTCGGCCTCGTCTTGCTCCTCCTCCGCCTCCTCCTGTTCCTCGGCCTCTGCGGCCTCCACGCCCTCGGGCGCCCCGACGTGTTGCGCCTCCGCGGCGGCTGCAGCTGCGGCCGCTCTGCTCTACGGCACCGGGGGCGCCGAGGACCTGCTGGCACCGGGGCCCCCTTGCGCAGCCTGTTCGTCCACCTCCTGCGCCAACAACGCCTTCGCCTTCGGCCCGGAGCTCAGCAGCCTCATCACGCCTCTCGCCATCCAGACCCACAACTTCGCCGCCGTGGCCGCCGCCGCCGCCTACTACCGCAGTCAGCAGCAGCAGCAGCAGCAGCAGGGCCTGGCGCCCCCCGCGCAGCCTCCGGCGCCGCCCAGCGCGCCCCTCCCCGCCGGGGCCGTCGCGCCTCCCTCGCCGCCCTTCAGCTTCCAGCTGCCGCGCCGCCTGTCCGATTCGCCCGTGTTCGACGCGCCTCCCAGCCCCCCGGACTCGCTGTCGGACCGCGACAGCTACCTGAGCGGCTCCCTGAGCTCCGGCAGCCTCAGCGGCTCCGAGTCCCCCAGCCTCGACCCCGGCCGCCGGCTGCCCATCTTCAGCCGCCTCTCCATCTCCGACGACTGAGGCAAGAGGGCGCCAGTGAGGAGGAAGGAAGGGAAGGCGGCTCAGAGATGTTGGAGGACACCCCTCGCCATCTCGTCCCTGCTGGGCACGGGATTGTGGGGGGTGACATGGGCCCCAGGCAGACTGCAAGCCCGACCAGCACTTGGACTCGAACTCTGTGCTGGGAGGGGCCCCCACCCCTCCTTTTTCGGTTTCCTCTTGTTTTGTTTTTTATTTTTATTACGAAGTTTCATTCTTTTGAGCAAAAATGTCGACGAACTTTTTGTATTGAACAAAATATTCACAACAGGGCAGTTGTGATAAGAGTAGAACAAAAAAAAAAAACACTTAAACTTTTTTTAGGACTCCAGTGAGTTTGGGACTTCAGGAAAAATCAACCCAGCACCAGCAGCCATCAACTACCATTCCATCTCTTCACTTGAACAGCATTAGTTAAGTCCAGATGTGGAAACTCTCCTCTTGGAAGAAGTTCCTAATTGTTTGTCTCAGACTGGTGTAAACAAGCTAGCCAGCCACCTCCTTGCTAAAACTATAAGCTTTTTAGAATCCAATATTCTGCCAGGAATATGCCTTGATAGTTATCCCTCAGCCCATATGTGGTTTTTTTGTTTAACAGAGTTATATATGTCTGGGGGTTTAAAAAAAAACCCTTGCATTCCAAAGGTCCATACTGGTTACTGGTTTCATTGCCACCACTTAGTGGATATTTAGTTTAGAACCATTTTGTCTGCTCCCTCTGGAAGCCTTGGGCAGAGCTTACTTTGTAATTGTTGGAGAATAACTGCTGAATTTTTAGCTGTTTTGAGTTGATTAGCACCACTGCACCACAACTCAATATGAAAAAAACTATTTAACTTATTTATTATCTTGTGAAAAGTATACATTGAAAATTTTGTTCATACTGTATTTATCAAGTATGATGAAAAGCAATAGATATATATTCTTTTATTATGTTAAATTATGATTGCCATTATTAATCGGCAAAATGTGGAGTGTATGTTCTTTTCACAGTAATATATGCCTTTTGTAACTTCACTTGGTTATTTTATTGTAAATGAGTACAAATTCTTAATTTAAGAGATTGTATGTAATATTTATTTCATTGATTTCTTTTCTTGTTTACGTCAACTTTGAAAGATTGCATGATTTCTTGACAGAAATCTATCTTGATGCTGTGGAAGTAGTTTGAGGAACATCCTATGAGTTTTCTTAGAATGTATAAAGGTTGTAGCCCATCCAACTTTAAAGAAAAAGTGACCACATACTTTGCAATCAAGCTGAGATGTGGCACACTTTTCTAATTCCAACTTTATAAATAGCAAAAAAAAAAAAGTGTTTGCTTATTCCACCAGTTCTACTGTGACATTCTCGAGAATAAAGACATGTAGCAATAAACGGGGAGTGGGGGGGAGTCTCATAGTGCCTTTGGAAGGGCCCGAACTTGCCTTAAATCTTCCTCAACCAAATAAGTATTTATTAGTGCTTTGAGAGAATCTGAATGTAGGATGGGTTCAACTGCACAAAAGGAATAGATTTTACCACTTTTTTTTATATAGATATAAAGTGAAGCGACCGCCTCTTAGTGCTGAAGTATGTAGTACATGAATATGCCTTGTTTAATTACAGAAAATTCCAAAACTTGTACTATTTTTTTTTCATGTAGAAAGGCAGGAATGTTTCCTAAGCTTTCCTGGACAGCAGATGAATGAGCGGTAGCTGTAGTTCGTACGTAGGTACAGTTGGAGCACTATATGTACTCTCTGGACTACTTTGACAAGTAGGTTTTTGAATGTACAAGATAAGTCAACTTGAGTTGTAATATATTTTGGGGAATCAGTTCACTACAAATTGTGACTGTAAACATTGTACTGTAAATGTTTTGTAGTTTTCCCCCAATAAAATTTTTGGGAAAAAAGGTATTAACGTGTAAGAGCTTTTCTTTTTAAACAGAATGTCTGGCTTTCTAGCTCCCCCCAGCTAGCCACAGTAGGCATTCACTCCCAGGTTTGGGATGGTGGGGGTTGGAGAGCTGGCAGAGCCAGAGTTCAGAAGAGCCTGCGTCCTCTCATGCCTGTATATATTTTATAAACAAGTTCTAACTGAAAGTAATTATTGGGGCTGTCAAGGGCATTAGTTAGCTGTTCCCTTTGGTAATAAGATGCATCCCAGAGTTGGCTGGCTGGTGGCAGGGCTTGGCCCGGAGGCCTGAAGGGGTGTGGCCTGCCTGTGAATCACCGAGTGGATCACGTGGCTGTGGTAGCAGCTGAAGGTCCGATTTTTCGCTGGGAAACCGAACTGCTTGGGTGGGGAAGGGGAGGAGGATCTTTTTTGCAGCCGGTGGCCTGCCAGGCCTGAGTGCTGAGCTGGAGGTGGAGAGTGAGGCCAGGCTTTTTCTGGGTCGGAGAACTGGAGTTTTGCCTGGATTTTGGAAAGCCTGGTATGTCCTTGTTCAGGGTGGAGGGGAAGATTAAACAGGTTAAACATATCTGGGTGATGTTTGCTTATGCAAACAACTTCCTCTGGGAATGAACACATACAAGTTATTTATGCAAAAGGACTTCATGTGTGTGCTTTAGAGGACTTAAGTGTCCAGAAAGCAAATTCAACCCAGGTCTCTAGAAAAAGGAAGGGAAAAACATTGATTTGCCTGCTGATTTGAAAACAGTTGAACAAAATCTTACTGTAGTGACTGGTTCTTTCTGACTTTAAAACAATCACTTTAGAAACTTAAATCGAGTTCATAATTCATGTATTTAACTTCTCGACCGCCGCCCCCATACCCATAGTTCAAACACTTTTTCCAAAGTAGGTAAAAGATTTAGCAATAGTTTGCTTTCTCATCTTTAACAGCTGGGCTCCATCAACAATCCTCGAATCCCCGCTCCCTCACCGGCCCTGCCTTAACCGGGCCTCTGGTGACTCACAGCTGAGCCTGGAGGGGAGGGGCGACCTGGAGGATACGCCAGGCCTAGGGCAGCTGTTTCACGTTAACGATGATTGCACTGGTGTTAACTGGAGCGTTGTGGTGCTTGTTGTGCGCTGCCAAAGGGGATGGGAAACAGTTTCAAGGTTCTCCCGGATGCCAGCCTCTAGCTGAAGGCCTCGGCAGCAGGGGACGGGAAGCCCAAGGCCAAGGAGGGCTCAGGAGGGGCGACTGCAGGCTCGCTGGCCCCTACACCATAAAGAATATGCAGTGGGGAGAGAAAGTCTAAAATGTGGTGCTATTTTAGGTTAAGCTGCGTTTCAAAGGCCTTGTTTCCAATTCATTCCTAAACTTATTTTTCTAAACAAGTAGTTTTGATTAGCTGGAATGTTGGGGTAAGCCACATTCATTTTTAAAAACGGGTTTGTTTGAAAAGCCCAACTGTTTGGATCTGAAGTTTTGTATTGCAGACCCAGTGGAGCATGCAAGCTGGGGGGGCGGGGATCATTCAGAAATTTCTTCTCACCGCAGATCAATGGAAGGTACTAGGGCATTGTCTTTCTGCAGCGCCTGGAAATTAACAGCAAACGAAACTCTACCACTGCTTGATCGCCCTTAGGAAAGTTTTCTTGTAAATTAAGGAAATAGAAGTAAAGATTGCAAGTAATGACAAACTAAAATTCCCATCATGGACTGTTGGCTCCAAGACAGAGTTACACTTAGAAACTGCGGGAGAAAATTCCTCCATAGCCACTTGTGAAAACGAGCCCTGAATGTGATGGTATTTAGAATGTCTTCATGGCGTTTCCACAGGATGTCTGAAGGCTAGGGTATTTTTTAAGCAGCCCAATTAGTGTGTGCCACCTTCTAAATTATTTCAGAGAAAGGATGTGTGCACATATATGGTTTCCACCCCTCATCCTGTCTGAATCTACTGCTGAGTGTGTAAAAGAAAAAAAAAGCACACACAAAAAAACTATTCAGAAAGCCAAAGCTCTGCACCAGCCCCAGGGAATAGATGGAGGATTGTGAGCCTTGCAGTGGCTCAGGACCCCGGATGACAGAGCCAGGCCTGGTGGGCCCGACGCAGGGAAAACAAGCCGGCGGAGCTCTGGGACGCCAGCCTGGTCTGGCACTAGTAGGCTCAGTGCTAAACCTGCATGGGGGGCTCAGAAAACCCCAGGGTGGCCACGTGCAGGGAATAAGCCCGCTGGAGAGCACTGAGCCTCGGAAGGGAACCGCCCCAGACACCCGCTCTCCTTCAGTTCTGTTTGTGGTGACAAGTGAGGGCGGATGTGACTCTCACCAAGTTTTCTTGAGACCGGAAGTTGGGTCTCGGCACAGTCCTCGGCCTTGGAAGTTCGCGGGAGCCGGCACAGCCCTTAGATAGAGGCTGGTCGGGCTTACCTTCCATCAGGGGCCCATTGTCGTGAATTCTAATTGTGTTTATTTTTTCTTGTCCACACTCCCGGGGGATGTGCAGAGCTGTGGCCGTCCAGGGCAGTTCCAGTTCTGTGCCGCTGCCGGCGCGGCTGAAGGTGGAGAAGAGCGGGGGCTGGGGCGGGCGGGGCCTGGCGGCTGGACGGGGCTCCCCAGGCCGAGCCTGGAAGGGAGGAGGCAGGAGGGAGCGGGGCAGCAGGAAGCCTTGGCACCTGCAGGGCCCAACCTCTCCTGAAGGGTTTTGCTAGACCTTGAAAGAGTCTGTGTGTGTGTGTGTGTGTGTGTGTGTGTGTGTGTGCGCGCGCGCATGCCTGCGTGCACGTTTGTGGTGGGGGGTGCGCCTGCCTGGGAAGTGTATTAGTACATGTTCCTGTGTCCTTTTCTGTCTGGGTGTGCAGAGGTTTGTGGGTGTTGCACCGTGCGCAGGTGTTCAGGGGTCTGCGGTGTGGTGTCGCCCTAGGGGAGTACTGGTGTGTGGATCCGTGTGCTTCTGCAGGCCGGGGGGGGAGGGGGACGGGGGGTAGGTATATAGGTCTGTGGGATGTGAGGTGTGGCTCACTGTGGTATGGCTGTGTTTGGATGTGGGTGTGTGTGTGTGTGTGAGTGCTGGTGTGAGTTTGGGTGTATCTGTTGCTATGTAGGTATGTGGGTCTTTGGGGTGTATGGTGTGGGGTGTGTGTGTTGGTGTACATGGGTGTGTCTGTGTGAGTGCTGGTGTGGGTTTGGGTATGTCCTGTGTGAGTGGGTATGTGGGTCTTTGGGGTATGTATGGGCGTGGGTGTGTCTGTTAGGTGGGATTTAGGTGTGTATGCGAATATGCATGGGGCGTGTGTGTGTGTGTGTGTGTGTGTGTGTGTGTGTATCTATGGGAATGGGTTTGGGTGTGCCTGTGTGTAGCTGCTGCTGTGTGTGGGTAGCTGTGTGGCTCTGTGGGGGGTTAGCAGCTGTAGGTGTTGCTGTGTGTTTGGGTCTGGCTGTGTCTGCTGCGGTGTGTGTGCGGGTGTGTCTGCATGTGGGTGTGGGTGTTACCAACACCTACGGAGGAAAAGCCGACATTCTTAGCTTGGCTCTTTCAAGTTTAAAAACTGCTTTCAAAACCCAGAAATGACCGCCAGGCTGGCATCCACTTCCTGCAGAGCAGCAGGCCAGCCTGGGCCGGGTGGGAGGGTGGCCAGTGGGCCCCCAGCTTGCAGGGACCGCAGACTCACCTCCATTGCTGGGCACACCTGCCAAGGACTGTCCTCAGTGCCACTGGCGGTCTGCAGGGACATTTTTAGAAAGAATTCACTCTGGGGGGAGGAGGAGGGGCCCTTTTATTTTCATCTGGGCAGAAATAGCTCCTGTCAGATAGCAGCTCTTGTGCCCTCTGGGGCAAGAGGCAGATCTGAAATAGAAGGAAAGATATTAAGGACTCGAGACAGACCAAAAAACTCCTGAGTTCGCTGAACCCAAGTTTAAAATATTTCTCTAAAAATAAGCTTTGTTTTTCTTGTGGATTCCTCCGGCCCTCTTGTCAGGGTGCTTAGCTGGTCTGGGACGCCAGGCGGAATTTTTAAAAAACCAAGTGTTTCCCAGCTGTGGCCTTGGAAAGTTCTCTGTTTTCCATTTATTAAACTCCTAGTTTCCGGCTAATTAAAATTATTTTCAAATAAAACTCCATGGCCCAGCAATATTTGATGAAACACAGAATTCCCGGTGACCCCTCTGCAGGGGGCCAGGCCCAGCAGTGGAGCCCCCAGTGTCCCCTCCATGGGGGTCAGTGCTGGTTTTTATGGGGAGAGGGAACCTGGGCCTTTGAAATGCAGACCCAGGCCTTGCCTTATTAAATCCCACCTCCGCCCCCTTGGTGAGCGCTTGATGGCATGGTGAGTGCTTGCTGGCGTGGTGACTGCTTGCAGGCGGGCCGTCTCTGAGTCCTGCACCACTTGAGAAGGGGCTGCGTAGTAATTGGAAACCTGCTGTTTGTTTCCCCTGCACCACTAATAACCTGAGCAGAGGGGGGTGCATGTCAGGGGAGAGGAACTTGGCTGAGGACTGTGGTCATGTGATCTTCTGCTACCTGGTGGTTTCTCCCTGGCCTGGCAGCTGTGGAGCCTTCAGCTCCCACCAGGCCAATGTGCCAGGACTTTATTGAGCACCTATAACATGCCCAGATGGATACAAAGTCCCAGAGTTGGGTGGGACTTGACAGACCCAGGGCCACATGTTATGCAGATGGAAGTCGGGAACACTGCAGGGTGGAAGGCATATTTTGCTGAGGGCCAGAGCTGGGGGGATTCAGACTTGCAGGCGGATCCGCCTCCCAGGCTCCTGCATTCAGCCCATACAGCGGTGGGGCAGGACACTGAGTGTGCTGGCCTGGCCCTGCCCTTTCATTCATCCCACAGAGTTCTCCACTATCTAGTAAATGCCTGCCCTGGGCTAAGAGAAGGGAGCTGACAGGTGTTATTCCTGCCTTTAGGGAGTCTGCAATAATGATTTCAAGGTTCATTCATGTTGCTTCAGGAATCAATGTTTATTCCTTTTTTATAACTGAGTGATATTCCAGTGGATGGGCATTTGGGTTGTTTCCACCTTTTGGCTACTGTTGAATGTTGAATAATCATGCTATGCACAAGTGTACAAGTCCATGTGTGAACGTAAACCTTTTTTTTTTGAGATGGAATCTCACTCTGTCACCCAGGCTGGAGTGCAGTGGTGCAATCTTGGCTCACTGCAACCTCTGTCTCCCAAGTTCAAGTGATTCTCCTGCTTCAGCCTCCTGAGTAGCTGGGATTACAGGCACACGCCACCACACCCGGCTAATTTTTGTATTTTTAGTAGAGAAGGGGTTTCACTATGTTGGTCAGGCCGGTCTTGAACGCCTGTCTGCAGGTGATTCACCCACCTTGGCCTCCCAAAGTGCTGGGATTACAGGTGTGAGCCATGGCGCCGGCCCATCTTAGTTTTTTCAAAAAAGTATACTCAGAAGCTGAAATCCAGGCCATAAAGGGAAGGACAAGATCTAAGGAAGCATCTGTCAGGGAAATTGACCACATGTAGGGTCCAGAAAGTGCCTGAAGAAGAAGCAAGAAAGGGCCGGGCTCACGCCTATAATCCCGGCACTTTGGGAGACCCAGGTGGGAGGAGCACTTGAGCCCAGAGGTTGGAGACCAGCCTGGGTGACATGGTGAAACCCCTTCTCTGCAAAATATTATTTAACAAATTAACTGGGAGTGATAGCGCACTTCTGCACTCCAGCCTGGGGAACAGAGCAAGACTCTGTCTCCCAAAAAAGGGTTTTTTTTCACCCCAGAGCAGAGGGTTATCACATGTACAAAGAACTGGAACTCTGGAGTCAGATGGGGGCAGTGGATCCTCAGGTGCTGTGAATTACTCGCTGGGTGACCTCAAGCACAGTTCACAGCCTCTTTGAGACTCAGTTTCTTCATTTGAAAACTCGGTTAATCCATTGTTGCTGTTATAAAGATTAAGTGAGATAATACAGGCAAAGTGCCTTGCCGGTGGCCTGGAGGTGGTGTGTTGAGGAGCTCAGGCTGGCTGCTATTATTAATAGAATGCTTCATCCTATTCTGCTGCCCCTCCTCCCCTGGCCCAAGCTCACAGTTCTCCAGGTCAGAATGCCTTAACAATTTTGATAGCTGCTATTTATACACAAAGCTTTACATACGTTAATGAATTCCTTATAAACACCCAAGACCGAGGTCCTATTGCTATTCCCATTTCAAAGATGAGGAAATTGAGCTCAGAGAAGAACTGTTAAGGGAGAATCCAAAGGAATCCAAGCTTTTGCTCCTTCAAATATGCCCCAGGCTGCCTTTCCTCACGCCTTTCTTCCTGCTTTACTCCCAACTGTCTATAAAGCCCTGATCCTTTGAGAAACCCCCCAGGATTTCATTTCAAGTGTCCTGCCTCATCTGTGCTTTTGTTTGTTTTTGTTTTTGTTTTTGGGTTTTTTATTTTTTTGAGACAAATCTCATTTTTGTAGGCCCAGGCCACAGTGCACCATCATGGCTCACTGCAACCTTCACCTCCTGAGTTCAAGCAATTTTCCCACCTCAGTCTCCCAAGTAGCTAAGATTACAGGCACCCACCACTAAGCCTGGCTAATTTTTGTATTTTAGTAGAGACACAGTTTCACCATGTTGGTCAGGCTGGTCTCAAACTCCTGACCTCAGGTAATCTGCCCACCTTGGCCTCCCAAAGTGCTAGGATTACAGGTGTGAGCCACCGTGCCTGGCTTTTTAAAAAATATATAGACAGTGTCTCACCATTGTGTCCAAGCTGGTCTTAAACTCCTGGGCTCAAGTTATTCACCCCCCTCAGTCTCTCAAAGTGCTGGGATCACAGGCAAGAGACCAGACTGAGCAACATGTCGGAACCCCATCTCTACAAACAAACCAAAAACTAGCTGGGAGTGGTGGTAATCACCTGTAGTCCCAGCTACTTGGGAGTCTGAGGTGGGAGAGTCGCTGGAGCCCAGAAGCCGACTGCAGTGAGCTATGATCATGTCACTGCACTCCAGTCTGGGGAAGGGAGTGAGACTTTGTCTCTAAAAATTGTAAGAATTTAAAAAATAATAATTTTAATGCTAAAAAAAGTTTAAAAACCACTGACTACCAGGTGTGTTAGCTCACACCTGTAATCCCAGCACTGTGGGAAGCTGAGGTGGGCAGATCACCTGAGGTCAGGAGACCCGCCCATCAAAAACACCGTCTCTACCAAAAATACAAAAATTAGGCATGGTGTCGAATGCCTGTAATCTCAGCTACTCGGGAGGCTGAGGTATGAGAATTGCTTGAACCCAGGAGGTGGAGGTTGCAGTGAGCCGAGATAGCGCCACTGCACTCCAGCCTGGTAACAGAGCAAGACTCCATTTCAAAAAACAAACAAACAAAACCACTGACTTAGTGTAGCCCTCTCATTCTATAGATGAGAAAACGGGTTGAGAAGGGGTAGGAGCACCCCTCTGGAGACTTGCCAGTTTCTGGTCCTCTACTTAGCACTTGGAAAAGAAAGAACCCTGGACACCTCCATGAGTGTGGGCTGTGCCAATATGGCTGTTGGTATCGATTCTCACCAAAGCAAACCCAAATCTTTCTTGACTGAGAGCCTCGG